CCGTGCCACTCCTCGTTGTCAGTACTACACGCGGCGGCGCCACGCGGCCCGCCTGCATGAAAAGGGAACATATGCGGAATTCTAATGCGTCATGAATGTGTGACTTGTAAAGCAGCGCTGGTGCTGCAGGGGCGGTCGTGCCGCCAGGCGGCGTGCGATGGTACATCGGGCTCGGCTCTGCTCATTCCGGCGTACTCATCTGAGGAGTGGGGTAGGGGGTGGGTGGGTAGCTGGGTGGGGTTGGTGGAGGAGGAGGGGGGAGAGGAGTGGTTACTAGCCTCACGAGGAAGAGAACTGAACTAGAGAAACGGTGCGCGTAGTAGGGTATTTTCCACAAAAGACATGGGGAGGTTTCCGGGTATCCTTACCTGCTTCGCGTGGGCGGCAGAAAACTGTATCCAATCCTGAATCCAAATCCGTGCTGGTGCAGCCGGCGCGTGTTGTGGCTCATGTCAGTACAATACTGGTTCCGAGTGGGAGTCGAACCTCGGTCGAAAGCGCGGCCCGTCCCCAAAGCCACGGCGGGCCAGCAGTGTCGGCGGCGCGCGCGGCTGCGGGAGCGGGCGGGGCGCCGGAGCAGCGGCCGGGGTCGGCATGGGCGGGGCGTGCCGGAGGGTCCGCGGCCAGGGTCCCTCTGGACGAGCGGCTCCGGACGCCCCGCAGTGTGTCCTCCCTCGCGGTGTATCCTATGGCGGGCGCGCGGCCGGGGCCCAGGTGGACGCCCTGGACGCGCGCTGCACTGCGGCGGGGGCGGCCGGTCGCGCGGCCCGGTCGGGGCGCTGGAGCTCTGGCCGGCGGCGGCGGTGGCACGGGGGTGGCGCGGCGCGCGGCAAGGGGGCAACTGGAGAGGGTTGGCCTGCAGGGCAGCGGCCAGCGCTGGGCGACCCCTCGCCCCGCCGCGCACACCTCGGACCCCTCGGACCACGCCGCCGCGCCGCGCCGCGCCGCCGGGGGTGGGGGAACCAAAACGAGGACGAGGCGGAGCCAAGCGTTGTGCCGAGGAACAAGAACAAGGACAGCTTGTGGAAAGAGCGGGACAACACGGCCGAGGGAGAGGGGTAGCACTTTGGGTATGGCTATACTCCTACTGCTCGCGCTGCAGCGCTGACGGGGGACACGGGGGCGCGGAGGACCTGCAGTCACCCGTTACTCACTCCAGGGGGGTGACGCTCGGCACTCGTGCGAAAGTGTGTCACACGCGCAGAGTGGAGGGGGGGGGGGCGAGGGGCTTGACCTCCGCGGATTCGAACCCGCGCTATGCGACTTCGCGAGGCGGTAACCTTAGCGTGCGCGGCCATCGCATGCCC